TACAACCGCCCTGTAGTATGTCCTGAAATCTGGTATTGTGATGCCTCCAGCTTTGTTTTTGTTGTACAAGATTGCTTTAGCTATTCGAGGTCTCTTGTGCCTCCATATAAATTTCAGCACCAATTTTTCCAGATCTGAGAAGAAGGTCTTCGGTATCTTGATTGGTATTGCATTGAATCTATAAATTGCTTTTGGGAGAATGGACATTTTGATGATATTGATTCTTCCAATCCATGAGCATGGAAGATTTTTCCATTTCTTGGTATCCTCTTCTATTTCTTTCTTTAAGGTTTTGTAATTTTCATCGTAGAGTTCTTGAACGTCCTTGGTTAAGTTTATTCCAAGGTATTTGATTGTTTTTGTAGCCATTGTGAATGGGATTGATCTTAGAAGTTCTTCCTCAGCCATGGCATTGTCTGTGTATACAAAGGCTGTTGATTTTTGTGCATTGATTTTATACCCTGCTACTTTGCCAAACTCTTCTATGAGTTCCAATAGTCTCTTAGTAGAGTTCTTTGGGTCCCCTAAATAAAGAATCATGTCATCTGCAAAGAGGGATAGTTTGAGTTCTTCCTTCCCAATTTGTATCCCTTTAATTTCTTTTTCTTGCCTAATAGCTCTGGCTAGAACCTCCAGAACTATATTGAATAGCAGTGGTGAGAGTGGACATCCCTGTCTGGTACCAGATCTCAGTGGAAATGCTTCCAACTTTTCCCCATTCAATAGGATGTTGGCCGTGGGTTTTTCATAGATTGCTTTGATTGTATTGAGGAATGTTCCTTCCAAACCCAGTTTGCTTAGAGTTTTCATCATGAAAGGGTGTTTTATTTTATCAAATGCTTTCTCGGCATCTATTGAGATAATCATATGGTTTTTCTTCTGCAGTCTGTTAATGTGGTGTATCACATTGATTGTCTTGCGCACATTAAACCATCCCTGCATACCAGGGATAAATCCCACTTGGTCTGGGTGGATGATCTTTCTGATGTGTTGTTGCATTCTATTGGCGAGAATTTTCTTGAGGATTTTTGCATCTATGTTCATCAGGGATATTGGTCTGTAATTCTCTTTCAGTGCTGCATCTTTTTCCGGCTTAGGAATTAAGGTGATGCTGGCTTCATAGAAAGAATTTGGGAGGATTCCCTCTTCTTCGATTGTTCTGAATAGTTTGAGAAGAATTGGAGTTAGTTCTTCTTTAAATGTCTGGTAGAATTCAGCAGTGAATCCATGTGGTCCTGTCCTTTTCTTTGTTGGGAGGGCCTTTATTACTGTTTCAATTTATGTCTCAGTTATGGGTCTGTTTAGGTTTTCGATGTCTTCCTGGTTCAATTTAGGTAGGTTGCATGTGTCCAGGAATCTATCCATTTCTGATAGGTTTCCCTGTTTGCTGGCATACAAGTCCTTGTAGTAGTTTCTGATGATTCATTTTATTTCTGTGGTGTCTGTTGTTACGTTTCCTTTTTCATCTCTGATTTTATTGATTTGGGTCTTTTCTCTTCTTTTTTTAGTTAGTTGGGCCAATGGGGTGTCAATTTTGTTTATTTTTTCAAAAAACCAGCTCCTCGTTTGGCTGATTTTTTGGAATGTTTTTCTTGATTCAATCCTGTTGATTTCTTCTCTGATTTTAATTATTTCTCTTCTCCTACTAGATTTGGGTCTGGTTTGCTGTAGGTTTTCTATATCCTTGAGATGCAGTGAATTCTCATCTGTTTGGTGCCTTTCCAATTTCTTGATGTAGGCACCTATTGATATAAACTTGCCTCTTAACACTGCTTTTGCTGTGTCCCATAAGTTTTGGTATGTTGTGCTGTTATCCTCATTTACTTCCAGAAAGTTTTTGATTTCTCTTTTAATTTCTTCTATGACCCATTGTTCATTCAGGAGCATGTTGTTCAATCTCCATGTGTTTGCATATGCTCTAGGGATTCCTGAGTTGCTAATTTCCAACTTCATTCCTTTATGGTCTGAGAATCTGCATGGTATGATTCTAATTCTTTTGAATTTGCTGAGACTTGCTTTATGGCCTAGTATGTGGTCAATCCTAGAGAAGGTTCCATGTACTGCTGAGAAGAATGTATAATCTTTAGCTGTAGGATTGAAAGTTCTGTATATATCTGTTAGATCCATTTGGGCTATAGTGTCGTTTATATCTACTGTATCCTTGTTGATCTTCTGTCCTATTGATCTGTCTATTTCTGAGAGTGGAGTATTGAAGTCCCCCAGTACTATTGTATTGGGGTCTAAGTCTCCCTTTAAGTCCGTTAACAAATCTTTTAGATAAACCGGTGCCCTGTAGTTAGGTGCATATACATTGATAATTGTTATATCTTCCTGTTGAATTGATCCCTTAATCATTATATAGTGTCCCTCTTTGTCTCTCTTAACGGTTTTTGTGGTAAAGTTTATGTTGTCTGAAATTAAGATGGCTATGCCTGCTCTTTTTTCATTTCTGTTGGCATGCTATATCTTTTTCCAGCCTTTCACTTTCAGTCTGTATGGATCTTTGTTGGAAAGATGAGTTTCTTGTAAGCAGCAAATAGATGGGTTTTGTTTCTTAACCCAATCAGCCAATCGGTGTCTTTTAAGTGGACAGTTCAGGCCATTCACGTTCAATGTGACTAATGATAAGTGGTAACTTTGCCCTGCCATTTGCCAAAGATAAGTTCTAATATATGCTTTGAATTCCCTGTGATCTTTTGCTGTGAGCTTTCCTTCCTTGGTTTCCTTCCTTTACCTTCTTTCATATTGATGACCGTGTTTCTTTGTTCCTGTGTGTAACACATCTTTAAGCATCTTTTGCAGGGCTGGACGAGTGGCAACAAATTCTTTCAATTTCTGTTTGCTATGAAAGGTCTTTATTTCACCTTCATTCACAAATGAGAGCTTAGCAGGATATAATATTCTGGGCTGGCAGTTGTTCTCTCTTAGTACCTGGGCTATATCTCGCCATTCCCTCCTAGCTTGTAGAGTTTCTGATGAGAAGTCAGCTGTGAGTCTGATTGGAGATCCTCTGAGAGTAATCTGACGTTTCTCTCTTGCATATTTTAGGATCTTTTATTTATGTTTCACTGTGGAGAGGTTAATTACAACGTGTCGTGGTGAGGATCTCTTTTGGTCGTGTTTATTAGGGGTTCTGTGGGCTTCCTGTACTAGGATTTCTCTGTCCTTCTCCAAACCTGGGAAATTTTCTGCTAATATCTCACTAAAAAGGCCTTCTAATCCTTTCTCCCTCTCCATGCCTTCAGGAACTCCTAGAACCCGAATGTTGGGTTTTTTAATAGTATCCTGAAGATTCCCGACAATATGTTTTAGAATCCTAATTTCCTCTTCTTTTCTTTGGTCTGACTGTATCCTTTCCTGTTCTCTGTCTTCTAAGTCCGATATTCTCTCTTCTGCTTCACCCATTCTGTTTGTAAGGCTCTCTATTGTGTTTTTCATTTGATCTATTGAATTCTTCACTTCAGTCACTATCCCAGTTTCCTGTTGTGCTAGTTGTTTCGTTTCATTTTGATTCCTCCTTAATATTTCATTTTCACGAGAGATTTCTGTAATTCAAGAATTTGTTTTTGAGAACTTCTTAATGTTCTTATCAATTTTTTGAGATCTGCTTCTTGCATTTCTTCTATGTCATCATCTTCATAATCTTGAATTGGGGTGTCTTTTTCATTTGGGGGCGTCATGGTGACTTCCTTGTTTTTATTACCTTGGTTTTTGCGTTTGTTATTTGGCATATTGGAGATATTTGGTTTCTTCACTGTGGTGCTTTTTCTTGTTATACTATGACTCTAGATTAAGTGGACTATCTGTTTTTGATGGAGCCTTAGGGCTTGAGATGGGTGTGGCCTGAGAGCTCTGTTTGGTGTGCCAAAGGTGACACTCCCAGGTAAACCTCTCTCTCTCTCTCTCTTTCTTTTTTTTTTGTTTTTGATTCAAAAGGGAAGTTATTCTGCACAGCTGAACGAAGTTGGAGGTAGTTAGCAGGCAAATGATATACCCACAGGAGCCAGAGATCAGAAGCTCTTTCCCAAGGACCACACAGGGAATCTGTTCGGCCCTCAGAGTGGGCTCAAATTCTCCTTCAGTCTCCAACTGGGTTGCCAAAGTTACGGAATTATAGCGTCTCTGGAGAGTGCTCACGTGAATTCCGTGAGTTCTCTCCCCCACCGTCTCTTTTTTCACAGTCTCAGTTCAGTAGCACCACAAATTTACTAGGTCCTAATCTCCTGTTAATTCGCCCCGCCCAGAGTCAGGTTTTTCTGCTAGGCTCAGGGCCGGTGCAGACCTGAGGTCGCTCTGCTTATGACATATGTCCACAATGGTGCCTGCTCTTTGTCTTGCTCGCCCTTGAGAGGTGAGCGGAGAGAGAGAAACCCGTGTCCGTGCCAGTCACCTTTTTTTTTTTTCCCTCTCTCTCTTCCAGTTAGCCTGGTGAAGTTCCCCACCCCCCGGGGGTCGTTCCCTCTAGTCTCCTCTCTCCGCTTGCCTGCCGGTGTCTCGGGCTATTGAGGTTCGGCTCACCTCGCGTTCCAGCAGCTCGGCTTCCGCGCGGTGGGCGACCTTGTTCTCCCAGTAGGTCCTCCGATTCACGACCCCTCAATCCAGAAGGGTTTCCTCTGCAATATTTTCCTGGTTCTTTTTTCTGAGGCTACCGTAACTCCCCTTTTATTAAACTAAATTTTCCCGGACTATCGGTGCGTGCCTTCACTATTCCGCCATCTTGGCTCCGCCCTTGGCTGGGACTTTAACAGCAGCCTGTAATTCTCTTTCAATGCCGCATCTTTCTCAGGCTTAGGGATTAAGGTGATGCTGGCTTCATAGAAAGAATTTGGGAGGATTCCCTCTTTTTCGATTGTTCTGAATAGTTTGAGAAGAATTGGAGTTAGTTCTTCTTTAAATGTCTGGTAGAATTCAGCAGTGAATCCATGTGGTCCTGTCCTTTTCTTTGTTGGGAGGGCCTTTATTACTGTTTCAATTTATGTCTCAGTTATGGGTTTGTTGAGGTTTTCTATGTCTTCCTGGTTCAATTTAGGTAGGCTGCATGTGTCCAGGAATCTATCCATTTCTGATAGGTTTCCCTGTTTGCTGGCATACAAGTCCTTGTAGTAATTTCTGATGATTCATTTTATTTCTGTGGTGTCTGTTGTTATGTTTCCTTTTTCATCTCTGATTTTATTGATTTGGGTCTTTTCTCTTCTTTTTTTAGTTAGTTGGGCCAATGGTGTGTCAATTTTTTTAAATTTTTCAAACAAACCAGCTCCTCATTTGGCTGATTTTTTGGAATGTTTTTCTTGATTCAATCCTGTTGATTTCTTCTCTGATTTTAATTATTTCTCTTCTCCTACTAGATTTGGGTCTGGTTTGCTGCAGTTTTTCTAGTTCCTTGAGATGCATTGAAAGCTCATTTATTTGGTATGGCCATGACTTCTTTTCACACATGGAAACTTTACATGGGTTTGTAAGATCTGTGTGCCTACTATTGATACAGAAGGGAGAATATGTCACCAGCAACTCTGAAAGGCCAACTCACAATCCCTGGAAAAGATCTGGCGGGAACAAGCAGCTTTCCTATGGTTCTTATTTCTGGGTCCTATACAAAAGGAGGAGTGCTTTTTCTTAGAAGTCCTGGCTGAAAGCTGCGTATTAAATTCCAGTCAACAATGGTGAGCACTTTTATGGAGCTTATTTTGCACCAAGCATTGTTTTAAGTGCTTAATGTATAGTCATGTATTGAATCTTCTCAACAATTTTGTAATGAAGGAACTGTATATATCCCCATCACACAGATGGAGAAATGGAGAGGTTAAACAAACCACCCAAGCATACATAGGTGGGCAGACTTGAAGTTTGTATCTTTGACATTTTTAAAATGCTGTGTACTAAAAACATCTTTAGAACATGCAAAACCAAGTCCAGCTGGCTTTTTTTCCCCTGGAGAAGCTGTTCTGTAGCTGTTTTTCACAGACCACTTGGGATCTAACTCTAGAGGTCACAAGGATGCAGGAAGGCCTCTTCCAACTTGTCAGGGAAAGGGAATTTTTTTTAAAGTAATTTGACTTCTTGCTGTTTACATATAACTCACAGCTTTATGAAACCTTGGGGAAACTGAGAACCAAATAGCTTTCCTTTGCTTCCCTAATTTGGAAGGTGAGTTCTTGGCATATTGGTGCCTTTCTCCATGGTATTTTTGAGTCCATGTTGGATTCTGAGTTTCCTGTGGCACTAGATAGGCAAGTGACCTTAGATATGGCAAGACAGAGTCGCTGTGCTTTTTATGCCCTGTCTATGAAGTTGCACTCCCACTTCCTCTGTATGCCATTTGTTAGAAGCAAATCACTAAGTGTAGCCCACAGTAAAGAGGAGGGGAACCATCTCTTTAAAAAAGCAGTAGGAAAGAATCCTGGACAATTTTTTTTGACAGGCAGAGTGGACAGTGAGAAAGAGAGACAGAGAGAAAGGTCTTCCTTTTGCCATTGGTTCACCCTCCAATGGCCGCCGCGGCCGGCACACCGTGCTGATCCGATGGCAGGAGCCAGGTGCTTCTCCTGGTCTCCCATGGGGTGCAGGGCCCAAGCACTTGGGCCATCCTCCACTGCACTCCCGGGCCACAGCAGAGAGCTGGCCTAGAAGAGGGGCAACCGGGACAGAATCTAGCGCCCTGACCGGGACTAGAACCCAGTGTGCCGGTGCCGCAAGGCAGAGGATTAGCCTATTGAGCCGCGGCGCTGGCCTAAAAAAGCAGTAGGAAAGAATCCTGGACAAGTTTTAAAGCAACCACAATCCTCCTAGAACTTAGATTAGCAAATGAATTTCCCTCCTTGGCAAAGAACTTGTTGAACTATTATCACTTACTGGTTATTTACCTTTCCCATTGACTTGAGCTACCTAATTTTCTCATATCAATATATAGATAGAAAAGAGCCTATTATGGACCACATTATATTTATTTACATTGACCTGTTATTGTCATATGCAAGAAATTTTAATTACTGAAGTATTCATAAAACTTTAAGCCAGGTTACAAACACTTCTATCTTTTAGAGTGACTATAATATGGTATACTAAGTGTAACAATAAAGTAGTAGCAAGCTGAGGAATAGGGGGAGGTGGTTAGTAATGGCTTCCCAAAAAAAGGACGCTGACACCGTCTATCCTTGAGTGCAGTAGCAAGAGAGGGATACAAGCTGTGGCTCAGGGAAGGCCTTGGTCATGCTGAGAGTGAAGTGAACTAGAGTGAGTGTATATTGATGAATTGATGGTAGCAATTGATGGTGTGGATGGATGGCAGGGGATGGAGTTGGGGTGGGGAAGAGTTCAATACACAGGACTTGACGACAAATCAAATAGGGGAAGGGGCCAAGAATTACAGCTGAACTTCATCTTTTGTTAGAATCCCAAACTCTCAGCTTGTGAAGTATAGTGTACTATCTGATTAAAGAGTTGAATTGTGAATACATCATCATCTGTATTCCATAGAGATGGCCTGTGGAACAGTCCAAGACAAAACAAGAAGATGGCCTATGGCAGCCAGCACTGTGGCATAGCAGGTAAAGTCACTGAGTGTGAAATACTGGTTTGAGTCCTGGCTGCTGCACTTCCAATCCAACTACTGGCCTAGAAAAAACAGCAGAAGATTGTCCAAGTACTTGAAACTTTGCTACCCATGTAGGAGATGTTGGTGAAACTCTTGGCTCCTGACTTCAGCCTGGCCCAGCCCCAGCCCCAGCTATTGTAGCCATCTGGGAAGTGAATCAGTGGGATGTAAGATTCTCTCTCTCTCTCTCTCTCTCTCTCTCTCCTCTCTCTGTAACTCTTTCACATAAATAAATCTGAGAGAAAAAAGCAGCAGCAGCAGAGCAAAAAGGTGGCATGTGAGACTGGCAGGAGGCACAGGCATCACATATAAACATATCTAGGACACTTGCTAGGACCAGGGTGAGGTTTATGACTAAAGCAAGGAAGAGACATGCTCTGAGCTGAGTAGTTTGCCCCTGATATTGGGACAGAGCCACAGAGCCACTAAAGCTGATGCTTGGTTCCAGGACCTCTTTCTTCTACCTTGAGAAATTTCAGTTCAGCTATACATGGAGTCCAGAGCAAAATATCCTCCCCCAACCCCATGAAACAGAGAAACAGGAGGAAGAAGGGTAACATCTGACAATTAAAGTATTAAATGTCAGGCATAATAAAGAGAAGCAACTTTTGAGATAATAAGCCCAGAAACTATCTTCAAATATTGTTGAGTTAATAAACACCCCAAACTCCCAAAGAAGCCAAGAGTGTAGACCTGGATCAGGATTTTCTTGGAACTGTGGCTGATGTTATTATTTGCCTCTCCAGTGGACATTCCTAACTCTCTTCTTGGTGAACACAGCCCCAGATTGTAAGAGGCAGAAATATACCCATACCAATCATAATGGGTGTAAGACCACTAAGCACAATGACCCTCATTCTCCTTTTCCAGATGCACATCTTCTTTGGCCCTTGGAGTCATAGGAAGCCAGTTTAGTCAAAGGTGATCAGTTTGGGCTATTGAGATGTGTAGAGAACTCTACTGTAGATTTTAGGAGTTTGTTTTAAATAGAAAAAAGAAAATTAGGGTATAAGAATTGATTGGCACTGCCTCTTCCCTCTTCTTCCTGCTTAGGTTCCTGGATACCTGGAGTTCCTTTAGTCTTATAATTATGAAGCAACACACAGGGAGATCCACAGGCATGCTGGGGATGATGAGAGCAGGTTAGGAAGTTGAGGTATGCTAACCAACTTTATGCATAATTTTGGGTCACAGGGATCACAGGTATTTGGTAAAACCTAATTCTGGGTTTCTGTGAGGGTGTTTCTAGATGAGATTAACATTTAAATCAGTAGACTGCATCAAGCAGATTGCCCTCCCTAAAGTGGATGGCCCCATCCCATAAGCTGAAGGCCTAAAAAAAATAAAAAGGCTTACACACACCCCACATTCATGCAAGAATGTTCTTCTTGCCTGACAGTCTTGGAACTAGGAACTGAAATGTACCCTCTTCCTGGGTCTCAAGCCTACCAGCCTCCAGATAACCACTACATCACTGGCTGTCCTGAGTCTCTGATTACTGACTCTCTGTGCAGATCTTGGAATTCACTGGTCTTCATAACCTTATGAACGAATTCCTTATCATCTCTGTCTCTGTTTCCCACATCTCTCTCTCTCCCCCTCCCGCTGACTTCCATATATGTTATTTGTTTTGTTTCTCTGGAGACTCCTCATTAATACGTGGGTAATCTTGTATCTCTATTGATGCTGCTGGTCTGCTGCAGCAGACCTGACCTACCCATGTCCATTCTTTTGACAAGGACAAAAATTAAGTGTCTTTTTTGTTCTAGCCATTTAGTCAGTCTTTTGTTTCTTCCAATAAAAAAATATTCCTAATGGTCCCTAGTTATTGCACTAACTCTTCTCCAGTGCTCAACTGAGGCATAAAAACCAATCACCCTAGGACTCCATCCTCCAAAAATGTTTTAACAGCTCTGGGTAGTGCCTAAGAATGCATTTGTTATAAACTTCCCAAAGAATTGTTAGCCTCTGAGAATCCTGGACTGCAGAAAAGAGGGAGATAGCAAGCATGATAGTTAAAGATAGAACATATATGTTTAAAAGAACAAGATAAAAGGCTAAATTTACTTCAAATGGTGTAGCTAAATAGTATTCTAAATGGGCAAAAATCTAGAAAGAAATTCAAAGTGTTGATCAGTTGCTTCAAAGTGATGTGATTTTGACTTTTTTGTTTGCTTGCTTTTCATTTCCTTTACAAACAAATCTCTCCTTATTCCTGTGTGTGGTTATGCAGGAAGAACCAATATGACCATCAGACAACTAATTCAGTTTCCCAATTACCAAGGAAAATCAAAAGGACTATCTACAAGCTTCTCTATGGAAATAGTTCAGCCTTTGACACATGTTTTCTCACCATAAATTATTAAATTAACACTTATGTTGATATATCAGCTATGTAAGGATAGGAGAGCAGCACAAAGAGGAGATAGAATAGGGACTCCAACCAGACAGGCTTATTTAGAGAATAAACCTGAGAGGGGCTCACTGCAGAGAGCACACTGGGCAAACACATGGCAGAGAGCAGAGCCCCTTTACAGGCTGGAGCTTATAGTAGAGGAAGCCGAGGGCCGTGGTGGGGAGGGTGTTGGGTAGTGAGCCCCTGGCACTGGCTTTTCAAACTTGGCTGGCCTTCCTCTCTGTGGACTGCTTGGTTGGAGAAGAAAGCAGGGGGAAGGGAAGTCCCTTGTGGGAGGGGAGGAGTTGGATCTACTTTAAGTCATTTAGGCAAAGAACTAAAATGGCTCTATGTCAAGCTGTGAGTCAGATAAGAACAAGATTCAGAATCTTACATCTAGACTCTAGCTTGAGGCCAGGTAAGACCTAGAAACAGGGAAGATTGTACACAACATCCCCACTAACTGCAACGAACGTCAGCTAAGCACCTACTACATCACAGATGGTCTCATTTAATCTCTAGGACAACCAGAACTGGACTGGCAACACAGGTTGGGTCAACACATGACTTTGTTAGGAATTACACCACTAATCTCAAAGGTGCAGACTCAGGTGAAAAAAAAAAAAAAAAAACAAGACAAAACGTTGGAGAAAATGTTAAAACTGCAGAAGTAAGAAAATGTTGGGAGAACAGAAGCTTGGTGGTGGGAGCGGGTGGGAGGTGCAATCTGAGACTGCAGGTAACCAGTGCTCCCTAGCCTGCTAAAGGACCTGTTACAGCATCAGCAAGATTGATCTCTTCTTCAGATGCATCACCCAAAGAAGGCAAAATTCAAAAATCTCTCCTGTGCTTTAGCCCTACCTAATCCTATAACCTTTCAGGAATAAAACTTTAAAAATCTGAGCTGAAGAAGGGAAATTGCAATGCAGTTATCAGAGTAGGGTTGGAGGATTGTCTTCACTACCCATCCAGCTCTCTGCTAATGAACCTGGGAAGGCAGAGGAAAATGGTCTAAGTGCTTGGGCCCCTGCACCTACATAGGAGACCTGGACAGAGTTTCAGGTTCCTGGTTTCCATGGGCCAGGGTATCAGGGCCATTTGGGGAGTGAACCTGCAGGTGGAAGATCTCTTTCTCTCCCTCTTTCTCTGTCACTGTATTTTTCAAATAAATTATTATTTTTAAGTTAAAATGTTGACACTCCATGCTGTCACTGGGAAATTTCTCTAGGACCAGCTAAAGCAGGCCTGAAATGCCAGGTTCTGTTCCTGCCTGGCTCCAGTCCTATCACTGCTGGCCTCCAGGACTTGCAAAGAAGCTTCCAGCTGGGCCCACTCCAACCAGCAAAGATCACAGGCATCACGGAAGGCTCTGTTATGTCCCGGAGGACAAGCCAGAGCCCTACCCTCTTCAGCCCTTCACCCTCCCTCGCCAGCTGTTCCCTCCCTGTACCCTCTAGTAAATTCAGGAGGGCTGGCGCGCGACCCCTACCATGGACCTGCACCCAGACCCGCGCTCCCGGCCCTGCGAATGTGGAGCAAGGCAAACGGGTTGCCATGGCATAAAGCACAAGAGCACCTCCGTCACAGTTCACATTGGGTGCTAGGAGAGTGAGTGGACCGAGGCTCCCTGGTTTGGTTGCCCTGCTGTCTTCTACACTATGCAGGTTGGATCTCTGGTAGTTTCTCTCAGTGAGGATTGCTCCTAATTAAACCGCGAATTCGGGATGGCTGTGCGTAGTTAGAAAAGGACTGAAGTCGTCAAAAGATGTAGGCCGCCACTTTCTGAGTTAGGCCTTGTAGAAATGACGACATATAAACGTGGTTCTTCACGCAAAAGAACTACGGATTCTTGGAGAAATGACTGATTCTGGGTATGGAGAGGAACCGGGCCTGATCCACAGAGCACAGAGGCTCCCAGTGAGCCTGTTTCAAGAAGACAAGTATTTGCAGTGGACCGCAACACACCTAATACGTTTAAATCCACAAACCCCGAATGGCGCTGAAAACTCCTAATAACCGCATTGTCAATCCTATGGAGGGTGCTAAGGAATCGCCTCATTATTTTAAAACTAGGAAAACAGAAAGTGGAGAAAAATCAAGCATTTTTCCCATATCTGAATACAATCAAATATTTTGAGGCGCTCTTATGAAACTTTCCTGATAATCAGTGAGGTAAGTGTTGGGGTTAAGATAACATTGTCACCCATAATGAATGAATGGCTGTAGATACAACAAAAGCAAACATACAAACAAGCAAACAAAATCCCTGAATCCATAAAGCCTCTAAATCCAAGGAAATAAAGAAACTGAGGAACATGTTAAAGATATTTAGCTGGCATCATGGAGACTGGGAAATTACCAAAAAACGACTCTTCAACAAAAAGTTGTAAAGACACTTAAGAGATAATGCAATTAGTTATTAGGTTCGAAATTGATTTGGATGCTGGTTAAACACAAGCTAAATATTTGTGTATACAAGTGTGGAAATGAGAACAATGGCTGCTGGATAATAAGAAGTGTTATTATTATTTTAAACAACGGACAACAGAATTGTGGCTAATTATTTTTTAAATAACTCTAAAGTTATCCATGAAGTATTTAGGGGTGAAATAATTCAAATTTGCTTCAAAAGTATGTGGATGTTTGAGGGGATGTAGGTGGGAATTTAGATGGCATGAGATGGCCAGGAGTTGGTAATCTTTGAAGCTAGTGATGATCTAAGTTCATCATATTTTGCTTTATATATTTGAACATTTTAAAAGTGAAAGTTAAAAACAACTAATTGAAGTTGGTTTGGAGGATGGGCACAATCTAGTTCATGTTACTCAATCAGATGATGATAAAGACAGAGAAACAGCAGAAAGTGCTGGCTCATTACTGTCAGGAATAAGTCCAGGTTCCCCACTCTACTTCCTTGACATCCAAGGTGGGAAGGGGCTCTTCATGACTACGTAACTTCCCACTAGGCTCCACGGATACCACCCTGGTTTCCTTACTGTTCTCAGGCACCCTTCTCTAACACCACCCCAAGAGGAAGGCAAGGGATGCCTCATTAAGGCATGAAATTCCAGGATCTAATCCTGTGGCTATTGAAGGACGTGCTCAGTACTGGTCTTCTGTGCTATTGTTTCTTTTGGAGTGGTGGGAGCACCTCATTACAGCCTGTGAGTAAAAGTTAAAAAAATAAAAAAGGACAGATGGGCTTATGAGGAGTAGATGTTGGTAAAGGCTTACCTACAGCCTCAGCAAGGCACTCGAGGAATTGCACACTTCGGTCTCAGATCCTAAGGTATTTTGACAAAACTCAATCAGTTTGGCTAAGAACTGAAGCAATTACATAAATATATCTGAATCTGTTCCAGTTACTGCTTCTTTTACTTTTGTTCTGCAATTTCACATTTTGAAAGGAATCAGTTTCATCTCTGTTCCTTCCCCCAAATTTTGGCATCCCAAGAAAATCTCTTTCCTCTTTATTGTGAAGCCAGTCCTGATTTCTTTCAGTAATAAATATCTATATTTTCTATAATGCTTGTTTTGCTCTTCTAAGGATACAAAAAAGATTATTCTTCCTTTTTAAACTTTTATTTAATGAATATAAATTTCCAAAGTACAGTTTTTGGATTACAGTGGTTCCCGCCGCCCCATAACTTCCCTCCCACCCACAACCCTCCCTTCTCTCACTCCCTCTCCCATTCCATTCACATCAAGATTCATTTTCAGTTATCTTTATATACAGAATATTCTTCCTTTTAGTCTGCCTATAGTATTTAATCCTTACATGGGAAAATTATGAAAAGAAGTCGAGAACTGTATTCTGTTATTACATTTATATAAAACTCTAGAAAACTAAAACAAAATAATATTGATAAAGAAAATCAGTGGTCATTCAAGGATGCTTGAATCACAAAGGGGCATTAGCGTGCTTTTAGAAAAACTTGCAGAGTTGTAGAAGAATTGAACAAAATTATCAAGCAATTGACTTAATTCCCATCTCTAGAAAATTCAGACATCAGTAAGAGAATATATGTTACTCTCAAAAGCATATGGGAACAATATCCTGGACATAAACAAACCTTAAAAATTAAAGAGAATTGCAAATATATAAACACTATGGTGTCCAACAAAAATAAAACCAAAGTAGAAATAATAACAATGATATCTGGAAGATTCTAAGTATTTGGAAATTAAACAATGCATTTCTAAATAATCCATAGACTTCACCCCTCACCCACCCCGGCATTTGTCCTCTCACTGGTTTTGTTAAATAGACGTCCTTAATTTTTTTTCCTTTCAACTTTTATTTAATAAATATAAATTTCCAAAGTACAACTTTTGAGTTATAGCAGCTTTTTCCCCCATAACTTCCCTCCCACCCACAACCATCCCAACTCCCACTCCCTCTCCCATCCAATTCTTCATCATGATTCATTTCTTTATATACAGAAGATCAACTTACTATATACTAAGTAAAGATTTCAACAGACTATACCCACAAAGACACACAAAGTATAGAGTACTGTTTGAGTAGTATACACTATACAAAAATTGACACACAATGGATCAAGGATCTGAACGTAAGACCTGAAACTATGAAATTATTAGAGGAAAACAGTTCTTGTACAGGGGAAGTACTGCAAGACATTGAATAGGCCAAGTATTCTTGGGTAAGACCCCAGAAGCGCAAATAATAAAAGAAAATATAGTGGGGAGATTCCAAGCTGGCAGAAGGAAGAGGGAGCTTATTGATCTAGTCCAGGAGAAGATAGTTTAATAAAAATTGTGATAGTGTAGTCTCAGGGAAGAGTTAGGAAAAATCAGCAGAGGAAATTTTTCCATAATTAGAGGGACACAGTGGACCTACGTGGAGGGCATGGGTGCCCACAGCTCGGAACTCCAGCAGCTGAGAGCCTCCACACCAGTGCGGGAAAGTGAGGTGAGATGAGAGCACAGTAGCTCGAGACACTGGCAGAAAAGCAGCAGGAAGAGCCTAGAGGGAATGGGGGTTGAAGCCCTGTGGGGAAAAGTACACCAGCCTAACTAGAGGAGAGAAAAAATAAAAGGGATGGTGCAGACACGATTCTCTCTCCCCAGTCACCTTACAAAGGAATATAAGCCAATAGAGCAGGCACCATTTTGGACATAGGTAACAGCTGTCCAGCTCATGTCTGCACCTGGCAGTCACTCAAGCGGAGAAATCTGACTCTGGTGGGGAAGGAGGCTAAGACCTAGTGATGGTGTGGAGCTTCTGAACTGGGACTGTGGGAAAAAAAGGATCTGCGCAGATCCTTTGTGTATTCCTTGGGACAGAGCATACGAATATTGTACTCACTGGGGCTAGCACTCAGGCACTGATTGCCATCAAGGAGAAGAACTCAGCTGAACAGAATTACTTCCCCTCTGATTAACAAAAAAGAGGGAGAGAAGATTTACCACACCAAACCTGGGTGTATCACCTTAGGCACACACTTAACCCTGAAGAACTAAACAGAGCACTCTGACCACACCCACCAAAGTCTCTAGATTCACTGAAAGCAGGCAGTCCACTTATCTACAAAGTTATAGTGCAATTATAAAAGCCGCCAAGCAGAAAAAAGAAGAAACCAATGAGTACCTCCACAAATGCCGAACAAGAAATGCAACAATCCAAGAAACAAGAATAAGGAAGACAACATAATGCTCCCAAAAGAACATGACACTTCAATACAAGATTATGAAGACAGATGGAAGAAATGCAGGAAATGGAACTCAAAAAATTGATGATAAGAATGCTTAGAAGTACTCAAAAGCAAATGCATGAACTACTGAAATCTATTCAGGACATGAAAGAAAATATCACTCATGAAAATGAAATTTTAAGGAGGAATCAAAATGAAATGAAGAATTCAGTAGAACTTGAAATTGAGATTTTGAAGAGAAATCAAGATGAAATGAAGAATTCAATAGAACAAATAAATCAGTTGAGAGCCTAAAAACAGAATCAGTGAGGCAGAAGAGAGAATATCAGACTTAGAAGACAGAGCACAGGAAAGTATATAGTCAAACCAAAGACAAGAAGAGGAAATTAGAATTCTAAAAAATATTGTTGGGAATCTACAGGATACTATTAAAAACCTAACATTTGGGTTCTAGGAGTTCCTGAAGGCATGGAGAGAGAGAAAGGATTAGAAGGCCTTTTTGAGATACTAGCAGAAAACTTCCTGGGTTTGGAGAAAGAAAGAGACATTCAAGTACAGGAAGCACACAGAACTCCCAATAGATATGACCAGAAGAGATCCTTGCCACAACACATTGTAATCAAACTCACCACAGTGAAACATAAAGAAAAGTTTCAAAAATGTGCAAGAGAGAAATGCCAGATTACTCTCAGAGGATCTTGGATTAGACCTCTCATCAGAAACCCTACAGGCTAGGAGGGAATGGCGAGTTATAGCCCAAGTACTAAGAGAAAAAAACTGCCATCCCAAAATATTATATCCTGCAAAGCTCTCATTTGTGAATGAAGGTGAAATAAAGACCTTTTGTAGCAAACAGAAATGGAAAGAATTTGTCACCACTCATCCAGCCCTGTAAAAGATGCTCAAAGATGTGTTACACAGAGAAACACAGAAACATGGTCATCAATACAAAAGAAGGTAAAGGAAGAAAATCTCTCAGTAAAAGATCACAGGAAGTTAAAACTATATATTAGAAATATTTTTGGAAAAATGGCAAGGCAAAGTCACTACTCATCAGTAATCACATTCTATGTAAATGGCCTCAGCTCTCCAGTTAAAAGACTGGCTGAATAGGTTAAAAAACAAAACCCATCTATTTGCTGCTTACTAGAAACACATCTTTCCAACAAAAGTGCATGCAGACTGAAAGTGAAAGGTTGGAAAAAGATATTCCATGCCAACAGAAACCAAAAAAGAGCTAGCTAGCATAGCCATATTAATATCACACAAAATAGACTTTAACACAAAACTGTTAAAAGAGATAAAGAGGGGCACTATATAATGATTAAGGGGATCAATTCAACAGGAAGATGTAACTATTATAAATGTATATGCACCTAATTACAGGGCACCGGTTTCTTCAAAATATATGTTAAGATGCTTAAAGGGAGACTTAGACTCCAATACAATAGTATTGGGGGACTTCAATACTCTACTTTCAGCAACGGACAGATCAAC